AATAAACTCCCATTTTTAATGAGTGATATAATTATCTATCCTGACAACCACGAGAATCTATAATAAATAATTATAATTAAGGCACTTTACCAAGATTGCTAGATACAAGTCAGTATACCAGTGTACCAAAATAATTGAATATATCTCTATTGCAAAACAAAATGAAAATCCACGAAATGTAACCTTGAAAAGTATTCCAGCCCTGGATGGTGTGGCTCAGTTGGTTAGGCACTGTCCTGTGCACTGGAAGATGGCTGGTTTGATTCCCAGTCAGGGCACATGCCCGGATTGTGGACTCAATCCCTGGCTGGGCCTTATAAGAGGCAGCTGATTGGTGTTTTACTCTCCTTATCCCTCTTTTCCTCTCTCTCTCAAAAAATAAAAATAAAAAACTACAAAAAGAAAAATATTCCATGATGAGAATTCTGCTTTTGGCCATGATACAATACTGGTAGAGGACTACCCCTCTTGCAGAAAGCAACAGAATATGTAAAACACCTTTTTTAAAATAATAGACAGCGGCCAGAGGGGGACTATGATTCTTGAAAGAATCAAATCTTGTGAACAATATGATCAGCATAGTTATGACCTTGAAGCACTTTCTGGACCATGGGGATGGGAGGGAGAACTCAAGCAGAGCAAGGCAGTCGCACCAAGTTGAGAAGAAACAAGAGATTGGAGTTTCTGAAGGGTGAAATAGCTAAAAAAAAATTAAAACCTCAACCAAGGATATGTTCTTACTGATTTTAGAGAGAGAGGGAAGGAGACAGAGAAATATTGATGTGAGAAACATCTATCAGTTGCCTCCTATATGTGCCCCCACCAGGGACCTATCCTGCAACCTAGGTATGTGCCCTCACCGGGAATTGAACCCACAACCCTTTGCTCTATAGGATGACACTCCAACCAACTGACCCACCAGGCCAGCTCAGTAGCTAAAATTTACAGTCCAAGAAGACTGGAGAGAAGAGATATACACACAAAAAGAGCTGTAGAAATCTCCATAGGGGATCCCATGAGTCTAGCTCCGTGGTCGGCAAACTGCGGCTCGCAAACCACATGAAGCTCTTTGGTCCCTTGAGTGTGGCCATGAAGTTTCAATCGCATTGTATGTGCATGCCCGCACGTGGTATTTTGTGGAAGAGCCACACTCACGGGGCCTCAGTTTGCCGACCACTGGTCTAGCTGAATACTAACCTGTGCATGTGAGAATTGCAGCTGCCTATATACCAGTAAGAACTTCTGGAAGTGATAAAGTAAGCAACATTTTCCAGAGTTCTCTGAATCAAGAGCCTGAATTTTTTGGAACTAAATGTATCCCAACCATGTATTTTAAGTAAGATATAAATATATAGGCATTAACCAATAATGCAAGCATTTTCAGAATTGTGATTGCAGCATTCTTCCTAAGTGGTTTAACTAAAATCATAAAATTAAAAGTTGGATTTGTTGTTTAACTACAAATAAGGTATCCCTAGGATTGTCCAACTAACTAGTATATGATAGAGTTGTATTTTCAATCAAGAACTCTGAAATCCTACTCCAAAGATATCAGGGGATATTTGTTACTAATACAGTGGGGGATACCATTAATAGAAAGAGAGATTATCTTGAGGAGTACTGATTTGGGTAAGATTTTGAACTTGTTTACAAAAGATGTTGAATTTAAGATTCATATTGGTACATTAGTATGGAAATATCTGATGATGGAGATAGGTAAAGGTCAGGGTAAACAGCTACATTTTTTACCTGTAATGTTAATGGTTAAATTTTGAGATCAGATAGCTTCTCCAAGCGCCATTGCAAATAGGTGGTAAAATGGCAAATTTCAACTTTGGACTTGATATTTAAAAGATGGGAAAGAGAAGGAAATATATGTATTTACGCTTTCCTATCTTTCTTTTGCTTTCTGTCATAAAAACTGAATAAAATAAAAATTTTAAGTTGAGTAAAAGAATATTTTAAAGTTATATGGTCCTACCTATATTTAATGTTAAACTATTTTTAAAAAAGCATTTTTGTCTTCCTTTATAGCCATCTATCAACAGTTTTGGGAAACAGATTTGATCATGGCGCTGAGGCCATTGTACCTACACTTTTTAATCTCGTCCCCAATAGTGCAAAAGTCATGGCAACTTCCGGATGTGCAGCAATCAGGTTCATCATTCGGGTAGGTTCTTCTCTTCTCTCCCTCCTTTCCCCTTTTAAAAATGTCCTTAAATAAGTTACTGGTATTTTTTTAACTCCAAAGGAAAAATTACTTTTGAATTACTTTTCTGATAATAAAAGCAATACATGGTAATTATAGTTATTCTGGAACATTTAAATAATGCAGAGTATTACAAAGCAAACATTTTTAACAACATATACACATGAGTACATGTATGCATGTATGTGTGCACTTCTAACAATGTTACAGGTAGTAACAGGCTATAGATGTAAAATAGTAAAAATGTTATAGACAGCGGTAAATGATGACAGGGAAATTTTTACTATTTCTCATCGTCCATATCTTGAAGATACCCGAAAGAACAGAGATAAAAAGATAAATCCCCCCCCCCTTAAATTCTACTCACTTGACAGTATCCATTTTGCTGTTCTTGAGCTTATCATATTATTGATATACATACTGTTCCTCCATCTCACTGAAAATACAATCAGGTGGGGTTTTTGTTTATGTTATCTCCTGTTTTATATACAGATAGTCCTTAGGTTACATTGGACTCGACGTAGGTCGTTTCATGGTTACATTGCCATCTCCCATTTATTTATTTAAAAAAAAGTTCCGTCATTTCGACGTATGTAATTTTGTGCTTTATGTTTTTATTATTTATTTACCACAAGTAAAGGTCGGGAATTGTTAATTTTTTTTTACTGTTTCACTTCATTACTGCTGTGTATGTGCTCCATGTGAGTGACGTAGGTGCTTATATAGGTGGGTTCCGACTTACAGCAAAAATCGCGTTATGTCGCACCGTAGGAACAGATCTCCGACGTAACCTGAGGACCTACTGTATTTTGTTTGCTTCCTAGGGGACTACTTCCTTAGATTGCTCTATTTGATTCCTCATTCTCTTTTTAATTCTAGAGAAGCTTTTTTTTTTTCAAGTTGTTAACTCTACTGATATTAATAAGTTAAAGTCTGAATTGTTCTCAGTATTTCGTTGAATGTTTTGTCATTGCGAGGGTCATTTTTTAGTTTCCTTTGGCACAGCTACCCCTGAATATAGTGTCACAATAGTTAGGTGTCTCCCCATCCCTGCCATGTGTTAGAGGTGGGCTAATCAGCAGTCAGGCCTTGGGGAGATGATGAGAGAGAGGAGGAGGCTGGTGAGTGAGAGATGGTTGTGTGTGTGGCTTAGGGACTGTCCTTGCACTTTACCTCCATAGTAATGTTTGAGGAATGAGTTCTGGATGTTCTAAGGAGTAGGTCCATAGAGTGCTTCCATACTGAATGTAACAGTTGAATAACATGCAGGTAAGCACTCTCTTGCACTAGTCTCTTGAACAGCTTTAAGTCTATGGGTGGTTTCTCTCTGTAGTAGCTGAAAAAAAAGTTTTTTATTTCGGTTGAGTTAATTGTGGCAGATGTGGTACGCACATTCTACTTCAGTGAAGACTTGTAATGAAGCACTCTTGGCAGAGAGCCTTCAAATGCCAGCCTCTTCAAGGATTGCCTCAATTGCAGGGAGCTGCCTTTCCCACGGTCTTGCCCCTTCTCAGTATGGCCCTCATCCATTAACTGATTGATGTGGAAGTGTAAAGGTTTGGCCATCTTGGACCAATTGGAGACTATGCTGAAGGGTCATTTTAACTCTATAGCTCCCTAATGGCCTTTAGATAAGATATCCTTGGGCCATATCATAGGTCAGTTTCTTCCTCTGCCCACTCCTGTTTCCTTTTCATATCTTCCACAGGTGATCCCAAGGGCATGTCTTAATAGCCTCAGGCTAAACTCTTATCTCAGACCCTGTTTCATAGGTAACCCAGCCTGCACCATTAACTCAGAAGGAAAATAGAGCTTTAAAGCATCAAAACTGTATACTTTAGTTACTATTTTATTATGTCTATGTTGAACTTTTTAGCATTTGCTTCACGAAAGAAGAGCATAAGAATTATTAATAGAAGTCAGAAGATTATACCTATTGAACTTTACCTGAATTCTAGAGAGCTGTAGTTCAGCCAAAGTCACCATTTCAAAGTGCATTCCCAATAGTTAGGTATGTAGATTCACACTGATTACCTACTTTGATTACACAGCAGTTTTATCATCTACCAGGAGGAGCCATGCTACTTCAGAAAATATAACAAATACATGCCCAACTTCTCTTAGTGCCCCCCCCCCAATCACACCATCCTAACGGTTCTTTGCAGTTGTACAGTTAGCTTGTCTTTATAATATTACAACCACACCTATCCTTCTGAACTATGTTATCATTACTAGTACTCTAATTTGGGAAAACTTTTTGACTGGCCTTAATTTCTTTCAAAATCAGATTTTATTATCTTTTGTCCTATACTAATATAAATACGTGAATGTAAGACAAATAAAAGAGGGGATTATGTGAAGTGCCCAGTATTTTTCAACCTTTTCTAAAACATCTTTTTCAGCATACTCATGTACCCAGACTTATACCTTTAATAACAAGCAATTGCACATCAAAATCAGTTCCTGTGAGAAGGTAAGTTTGGAGAGGAAAAATTTTTTTTAGTATGGCCTTAATATTGCATTTTGTTTTATTCTTAGTCTGGTGCAAAAATTGTTATTAATTTCTTGCCTTCTAGAAACCTTAATAAAATTGTTTATCTTATGTCATATAAGGGAAAAGGAATGAAGCAGTTATTATGACTACCCACGTTTCTCAGTTTTGTCGTATTCAGCTTTGGTTTATTTGGGTCGCTGATTGCTTGGTTTTTAGAGAGTTCGGAGTCTGGAGTCAGGCCTCCGCTGCAGTCCTATAGCTGCCACTAATTGACTGTCCTGCCTTCGCAATTATTGAATCACTTTAAACCTCAGTGTCCACTTGTTAATAGGGCTAATGATATCAGTCCCATAGGATCTGAGGATTAAATGAGATGCACATTAGTAGAATTGAACATAGTACATAGAGTCAACAGTCATATCAGGTCAATCAGTCACCCTCTCTTCTTATGATTCCTACAAATTTTAATACCACCATCAGTAACAAAGACAGCAAAAACGAGATTTGTGCATTTGATGTTTGAGAAAATTGTAAAGAATTCTTTCTCTTTTAAGTTTGATGAGTATATTTTTTAATACTTTGAATGTTGGGAAGAAGATGGATAAGACATCCTTATTGACTTTGTTTTGGAGTTTTGGTGACACTTGTTCATTAACTCTCTCCTTGAGGGTTGGCAAATGACAGCTCGCTGGCCAAATGGTACAACCCACAAGCTAAGACTGTACAACCCACAAGCTAAGACTATTTATAATGTGTTTTTTTCATATTTTTATTGATTTTTTTAGAGAGAGATAAAGGGAGAGAGAAACATTAATGTGAGAGCAAAATATCAGTCAGCTGCCACCTGCACGCCCCCTGGGGATCAAGTCCATAACCCTGGGCATGTGCCCTGACAGGGAATCGAATTGGCAATCTTTCGGTACATGGCACAATGCCCAACCATCTGAGCTATACCGGCCAAGGCTATTTCTAACGTTTTGGGAGGGTGAGTGAAAGGGGGAATAAAGAAGAATAAGAAATAGAAATGGCATGTGGTTCCTAAAGCCTGAAATATTTACTGTTCTGGCTCTTTACAGAAAACGTTGACCAATCTCTGACTTATGTTGAGGAAAATGGTAATTGAGGGATAGGAATGTAACAGAGAAGAGGGAGTCGGGAAGTACATCATAGAACTCTTTGAGAAGGGAAAGCAATTCAATAACTGTAGGAGCAGTGAGTGGGGTATAACTTAACAGAGATGTAAAGCTGCCACTCACTGCAGAGCTGTCAGGCCACTGAGGCCAGAGCACATAAGTGGAAGGTTTCTGTAGGAAAAGTGCCTGATAGGGTGGAGGAGGAAGGAGTAGGTTGAAGTCAGTATAGAAGGCTTTGAAAGTCATAAAGAGGAATTTTGACATTGTTCCATTCTTTGACCGTTTTTTGCTGAGGAGGCAGTGTCATCGATCCTAGTCTTTATTCCAGCTATGAACAGTGATTAAGAAGGCACAAGGTTTAAATAAGTGGGAATATTAATAACTCATTGAAGAGAGGCAGGGTCTGAACTAGAGCTATATTGTTGATAATTGATTGAAGGATATTTTATTCAATAGATAAATTCAAAGGATTTCAAGTGTAGAAAGGAGACCTGATAATTCGGTATGCATGAGAGTGGTGATGTCAAATGTTTTAGACTGTGAACTCTGGAGTCAGAATGCCAGGGGTTACAGCTCTATCACTTTGGGCAACCTAATTTAATTTCCCGATTTCTCATTTCCTGATCTGTATAATATGGGCCAAAAGAGTGGGTTTGAGAGGGTAAAATTTCATACGTTCTTTTGTATGTAGTGTTTGAGTTGACTTTCACTGCCTGCCTATGTAAAGATGTTGAATTGAACCAACATCTAGATGTGAGAAGCATAGCTGGTAGTCAGGAACAGATGATGTTGCCCAAGTTGACTATAAAGGGAAGTGGGCTGAGATCAACACAAACTAGGTGAGCACTTGTTTAAAGATAGGTGGAGAAAAAGTATTGTCATTAGATGCCAAGAAAGAAGAGAAGCTCAAGAATGAGACCGTTGAAGAAGTTGAGGACTAGAAGGCTTAGGAGAAAATGTACAGATATTTGATTAAAAATCAAATGTGTATCTTTTTAAGGAAACATTGTAAAAATAGAAAATCCATCACATCTTTCTTGATTACCATTGTATATCTTCAATTTCTAGTGCATAGTAGGTATTTGATAAGTATTTTTAAAATTAAATGAAATTTGTTAATTTTACATTTGACAAGCATTTTAAGTTAAATGTATGGGGAACTCTTAGTCTTTTTTAACTACTTACCATAGAAATAGTTGGAACCTTAAAGTAAGTTAAGTACATGACAATTAAGATGACCAAAAACATGTCTTATACAGTTGTCTTTAGAAATCTGTGGGGATTGATTCCAGGATCCCCATGGATACCCAAATCTGCAGATGCTCAGGTCTCTTACATAAAATGGAGTAGTATTTGCATATAACCTATATTTGCATATAGGCTACAGCAGGGTGTGCCTACTGTACTTCATCATGTGGATTCAGCATAGTGATTGGTGTGTGGCAAATTCATTTTGCTATTGGGAACTTTCTGGGGACTCCCCCCCCCCGCCGCCCCCCCGCCTCT